TAGTATGATTGTAGTGTCTTTTAGTTGACAAGTTACAGTAAGACCGATTGTACGCCTTATAGGATTTTATCAAACATTCAAAATAAGGAATTTCTTCGGTATTGTCTCATTATGGTTAACTTACTTATTAAGGAACTAGGTAACAATGATCCTGTCCACTTACTGATTCATTTGCTCTGCATCACCCGTATAACCTGAACGCACTTAATTCATAAAAGTAACCAGTGAGCAATGACCGACACCTTGATGCCGATTGGTCTGTGAACCGTATATGATTCAGTGTCCAATCAGGAGACTATGATAGTGAGTAGCTGTTAGTTATATTGTTCTCTTATCATTATGACTATACATATAATAATAATGATTAAATTCTTTATCGTACAGTAACATGCGTAAAAGATTGTAATTTACGCATCAATATTTAATGAATGAAAGAGATCTAGTCAGTAGGTCCGTAATTAGTTCACGATAACAATAAGGTGAGTAAAATATGTAAAAGTATTATGTACCAACAAAAAGCTGAACAGTAAAAATGTTTATTGATCATAGAATGAGATTACTAACTGCAATTGTTCATAAAACAGTCCCAACAGTTATGTTTTAAAATATCCGTTCCGATACAACATTTAAGATTGTCAATAGTCTACACTAGAATCTACTACAACCAAACCGACCAAATCATGTTTATTTGTGAACTCATTCACTAAGTAAAGTTTTTTATTTATGCAGCTTTGAACCATAATGACTAAATAACCAAACTGAAGAAGGGAGCTACTTTTGGATTTGTGATTTATTGGTTGAAAGGCAAATCATTTAGGCATCTAACTACAACCACTTTATAGACAAGCATCGTTTTAAATGTTTTAAGTGTTTTATTTCATTTGACAGTTTGTGGCGATTGTACTGGGTGATGACTCCTTGTACATTATTATGCGCTTGATTTGAATTCCAAATATATAGTACGTCCGATTGTATACACGGTGTTTTTTGACTTTTATACTGGTTCATATTTGACTGCTTGATTACTATACAAAATACAAGTACTTTAAAACTTTATATTGGCGTCGTGTTTTAGCATGTGATTGGACAGTTGGATAAACATCCATATTTTAACGACATCGTTGAGTATATGAAGAGGTCTGAAATCTGGAGTATCACAGGTAAAGATATCAAAGATAATAAAACTGTGGCTCATCTTCTTGCATTCATAGGAAACGGTGCATATAATGTACTAAAAATATGGCATTTCCAGATAAACATCTTCACCTTCCTATGAAGCTATGGAAGAACTAATTAATCGCGTTAAATTCACAAACTTCGAGTGCCGTGAAAGAAATCTAATGCAGAAGCACTTATGTACTTCATCTGGTTCATTCCATGATATAATCGTTGATAGAGGCGACATGTAGTCCATTATTTGTTTCCAGAACTCTAAGTCGTTAGATCTTGACGTCATTGTACAGAAGTTCAGGTAGTGGGGATTACTGGACACAAACATCTTGTAAAGAGTGATACTGAATTCCTGTTTGTTGAAGCAAACATGAATCTTAGTGGAAGTCTAAGATATTTTAATCGACTTCATGGTTTAAAAGTAGTATTGAAAGTCGGTTTAAAAGATGCTTTTTTCAAATCCCACTAGACCAATCATTTATCATGACGACGTTCAATGCTTCATCTTGTTTAGGGTTCTCCCTATCTGTATTTCAAGAAGTGATGGATAATGTAGTCAGTGAACGTTAAGATGTTGAAGTACATCAAGATGTCATAATTATTGTATAGTCTTGAAAAAGTAGCTAATGACCAGTGACTTATTTCTTTCTTATGTCGTTTAAATGAGAAAAACACTGAAGTATATTCAAATAAGTATCCATTTTGTGTATCTGGTTTTGAAAATTATCTTTTCATCGCTCTTTAAAACCACACTCAAGTTTATATTTCGTAACCATTTTGAAGACAGGTATTGTTCCAGTCGTTTGGCAGTTTACCGATAGATTAACACGTATGTCTAGTGGATCTGTGATAAATGTGAAAGTTCCTTCATTAATCTAGAATGCATTTCATCGGTTCCAACAGATTTACTCGAATCAAGCTTATCTAAAATTGAAATGTAGTTCTTTAATGAGCATTGTGTGCAGAGTTTGTGCGGAAAGGCTTATATGAACTGTGACGAGAAGTATCACTGTGCTATACACGGCTAAAGTAGTTTGACTGCAGTGGAGCCTTAACTTAGCGTTTCCCATCAATGATGCAGTACTACTGTCTCTGGTATGCTGCTTCTTCTTTTATGATGTTGGTTTTTGTTTGAGTATACGCGTTTTTGGCAGTCTGTAGACTCTCTTACTAGCCTCTCTGAATGCAATCTTCCAGACATGCGGAGAGTTGATACACAAATACTTCGGGGTTCCCGATATTGAGATTTTGTCACATCAGTGCCAAATGTCCTAAATTTTCAACACATTCTTTCCCTTTTACCGAGAACAGTGCTAATTTTCTTAATGGGCTACCGTGTGGAGTTTCTCACCTTCTTCATCATAGTCCAAGGAGTTCCTGATGTAATACTTCTACGTAAAAATTTCGTAATACCCCTCAAGTTGTTCAAATGGGGTATTCTGTTTTTCTTTTCTAGTCTACTGAGGTTGCTGGGTTTATGATGTCTGCAATCGTTTAGTCTGGCCAACTAATAAACTGTTGTTAATTCGGATATGGAGTACGAAGATGGGAACTGTATGGCCACTTTCATCTAGTAGTGGCATATGATGGAAGTTTGAGATGTGTACGGGTTAACTACAAGAAGTCGAGCTACAGGGTAAAGTTTGTTTTCAGGCGTTGTTGATTTATTATGTATGTGACTTTTTTATTTTTTTGCTCATCTGTTTAGTTACATCCTTGTAATCTGAAGAACGATCGAAACGTGAGTTAACTGAATGGTCTAGAATATAGCTGCTGTCGACAGACGCTTCGAAGTGCATCATGATATATACTGTTCATCAACGCACAAATAAATACACGCTAAATAGCTCTGAGCTACCTGTTATCCAGAACCACAATGACAGAGGTGTTATCTTTTGCCGATACTTGAAAACTAGTGCATATCACTGTGCGATAACCGCTAAAGATTTTAGAACCCTGTGGTCTATACATAGAGCCTTCAACCATGTCGATAATTTGACATTTTCGAATCTGTATGTAATGTTTATTCGTCCTAAGCTTGAGTATTGTATACAGGCAGTCAGTGCCTGCCTGAAATGGGACCATGGATTGTTGGCAAAGACCTAAAGAGCCGCAACCAATTTGATTCTTGGAATCGCGAAGCTGCCATATGAAGAGAAATTGCTTAGATTGAACCAATCATATAGAAGTAACAGAGATAACGTAATCATGGCTTTTCAATAACCTAGTATTAAATTTGCATCAAAAATGGCCTGACTTTACTTGCTTTCCAAAGAAGATGAAGAGTTAAAAAGTGTTGGATGGAAGTTACGGACAGTGTGGGTGGCTTCGTTTGAAATTGTCTCAAGTAAACCCTCCTTTCAAAAGTTCACAAATTGTCGATGTGAATCACAAATCGTTTTATAAAACTCTGACCTTTAAATGCTCAGCAACATATATTAGAGAACGATGTTACTATTTACTTGCAGTCGTTTTTTGATTTTCATTTTTCTCCGAATCTTCGGCTTACGAACAGGAAATTTGCTGTTGAGTTGCTGAATCCAATCGCAATTTCTTGCTGAAACGGTGGAAGGCTGAATGAAACTACAAATTAATGCCCTGGAGTTATACAATTAACATATGTCACAAACTAACTCAATAACATTGGTGGTTTCTTTCCATATAGGTTCTTATTAGTCCGAAGCAATAACCTACGCCTAAACATATTGCACCTGAGCTTCCTACATGATATAAGTCACGACGTCATGATGTCATCCTATCTCAGAAAATGTATGTGAGATAGGAATAATAACTCCGTAAGATTGTGTTGGGTTTGAGATACGTGTCTGCTATAGTAATCCACGTAAACAAGTCCAACATCTAGTGAACACTTAAATTTGTCTATATTAGAAGCAAACAGTTCATTAAAGTTCACCGCAATAGTTAGTGTAAGATCAAAACTTAACTCTCCCCTCTCCAATTATCTTAACAAGGCAACATTCCCATTTGCTATAACTTATGATTCCTAATAGTAAAAAACCAAATTTCTGCGATTGGTAACTTTTACGAAATAAGATGTAAGTGTAACTACATGGTATGCTGATTAAGCGGACATTGGAAATCTTAGCTGGTCATAAATAGAACTTCGACTGTTAGTGAGAGTCACAGGATAAAATGGGACTAGTCACTACTCAGTTTATAAATCCTGGAGATATTCTTTTTTCAGAAGATTCTTTAATATGCTGTCAGTTTTCATGGAACAAACTATATGGATATAAAGCTTGTGATCATTGTATGTTTCCACTAGAAACATCAGAGTAGAATTCCAGGTGGCTTACTTGCAATACAACGGTTATTTATCTTATCCAGAGGCATCATTTTGCTGCAGAGAAATCGTTCACTGTCCTGATTGCCCGGACAACTATTGTCCTCATAATATAACATAACATAATATAAAATAACACTTACTTCCATATATGACATATAATTCCCTCAACATCTTCGTACTGAATGGAAGTAGCGCAATGGGGGTGATTAAACTGCCACACTTACCAATTACTTGAATCTTTCCTAGAAAACAGGAATCGCATGTGAAGAAAATATTGGTCTTATGAAAGAAGGTGACATAGGTATTGTTTTCCGGGCAGCCCATTGACAAATTGTGTACTAATGAAATCCAATATCCGATATATTTTTCATGAGATGGAATAAAGCAGCCGTACTTTCTGTACAGTTTCATCATCTGCGTTATTGTGAAACGATGAAAAAATGTACATTAATATCCGGTGATGATAGTTATGAAATTACGCGATCAAACTGCACTTATGCTAATTGTAATTGTGGCTGTGTTTGTACAATTCAGATATTGTTGATAATTTTTAGGAGGAAATTTAAAATGCGACGGGTTTCCGTTCTATTTGATTATTAGTTGACAGCATTTTTTTCGTTTATTCACCGCGAAATGGTGTGGCTAATCAGACGAAAAGATGGAGTATCCCCTATATTCCCACTTCGTGGATGCTTTTGCCTTGATAACCGTTTGGGTTGTTTTATATCGACAATAACCACTGCAGTAACCATGTATTTAGTTTTTAATGAATTGTATTCAGATTAGTGCTACCATATCATGGATATTCGTGGTGCTTGATCTAGTGACTTGGGCAATTCCAGATTTCGTTATTGATCCTCAGTTCCCGACTTACTGGCGTATCAGGTTTTGGAAAGGTTTGAGATAATTCCACAATCGAATTTCACTTTTTTAGGCTTCATATTGTGTGATATCTTCATGTTTTTTGCAAATCTTATTCTTGTGATCATGTCTACCATTGTGATTGTTGCAATTTCTTGGCCAGCGAGATATGTAATATAGAAGTAGTACATCAGTTATATTTTTAGAGACTTTACCATTTGAAATCATATCTTCGAGCTTGGTGCATAATCATGGTTTTGTATCAGATTGCTAATTTAGGGGTTGGTGTGTATACATATTCTTGGTATGGACTAGCTGCATGGGTAAGGACGTCTGTTTGTGTTAATCTGTTTAATGAACTTTCAGCGTGCACCGTACTTGATCTTCAGTGTGATGTATTTCATTGTATGCTACGTTCTTTATGTGAGTTAGGGTTTGTTTAATTTCAGTTGTTGTGCCAATTCGTCCCGTTGGTCGTTGTCAAAGCCTCGTTGTACATTCAGTGTATTAAGATTTATTTTTTAACATATTACAATAAGCTATCATAAATTTCTTTTGCAGTTATGGTGTTGGATAGTTTGCTGGTCGTATAAAGTAGAGATTGATCTCGTTCTTGAAACCGTGGATGATAGCATGGCCGTTTATATTTATTCGCAAGTAGACGAAAACAGTCTGAGAACTGGGATCTCTTCTTTTTACAATTAGATTAAACTTCTTTCAAATTAGAAGGAATGAAAATAAGTTATGTTTTTTGTTTCAGATTGGATTTTTAATAGTTGGATATTCATATTATTCAGAAATCAGGTTGGCATTAGTTGGAGAAGGTGATCCAGAAGTTCTTCAAGAAATTAACTTCCTCAGTGGCGCTGGGAGTACAATGTCACCTCATATTTATACATTCCCACAGAACCAAAAAATATAAGTTTCAAAGTTTCGATATCAGTAACATTCAATTCATACTGTATCACTGTCTGCTGCTATAATGATTCTCGATAAAATTTGAACTTGATCTGAATATTATGAACTTCTAGGGTTCTATTTGTGAAAAATTTGCATTGGTTAATACGTCAAGATATTTTCATTCTCTGTTTCTTTTTTAACCGACTATTGTCTTTCTAACAGCATCATACGTTTGTGAAATAAATTTAACATTTATGATGTAAATTTAAAAAATCTGAGCAATTAACTCACTCATTTGACGGTCATAATTAGCTAAATTTAACAGGATACTAAGAGTTCTAAGTTTCCCTATATTGCTAAGGTTTACGTGCATAATTGGTCAGTGATAAAGGATTGAACAATATAAGCTAGGATGAAGCAGTTTATTCTGTTGATCTTAGTTGTAAGTGAGACTAAAGCCACTAAGTTGGTTAGTGAAAATTTGGAAGGAGCGACGACAGATTGTCATCTGTGCTTCTTCATGTGCTGTTAGCTAGATTAGATTTTTAAAGCTAACATTTTCAACGTCAAGTCTGATTACCTGTAGGTATAAAATAGCAGCTAAAATATACAGCGATTAAATTTTTAACAACACACTTTGTGATTGCTGATATAGAAACATTTGTAGGCATTCTTTAAGTATTATGGATAGCTATGGGTACTACACAAAGGTTCACATTTGTTAAACTAAATGAACATTAAGACCATATCAGATTTTTGGAACAGATCCATACTCTGCTACTTAAAATAAACTTTCATAATCCTGTGATAAAGGCAAGATATCTATCAATCAAGAAACTAGCATGCTGTGGGTATTATACTGTGAAGAAGTTTGCTTTGCATGAGTGATTAAGAAGTACACTATAGGGACTTAAATAACACTCTTCGTTGGCTAGTATTTGATTATAAATATCGTCAGAGCGGTCAGTTAGTCATTAACAACGTAGAGCTTCTTGCGTTGACTGCACACGATTACACATTAATTCAAAATGCCGAACCACATAGTAATAGAGATACTAGAAGTATTAGTGGTTATGGAGAAGATTAGGATTCGAAGATATTATTTAAGAAGTTTGATTCAGTGAGAAAAATTTGAAAAGAGAAACATAGAGGTGATGAGAAATTCAGAAGCCTGAAGTTTGAAAGAACATAGGGTGAATGCACCTGTGCCATTGCACACGATTTCAAGCCATGTCGTCCAAGGTCTCTAACCATCGGTTACTATCGTCTCGTGGACTCCAATTAGGTAGTCAACACATGCCAACATGACTCAGTCCACTCGTCACTGACTTCATGGATTTGTGCCATGTTTTGGTTTAGCCGACCCTAGCTTTCTTCCAGCCTACTCCCTACCACAGTGTTTATAGACATTAGATGATATGGATATGAGTGTATCTCACCAACTCTAATATATTAACTCTTTACATTCTAAATCTCTCTTTTATACTATTTCATCAAGCATAACCTTTCATTCCCTTTCAAATCATGTTCAGAGTATTTATTTATTGCGACTATCACATCTAAAACGTTATTTAGACTCTGGTTACATGTACTGTGTAATTTCTATCTCGTTATGCTAACTTGGTATGATAACTTAGGCTGACACACATTTATGCCAGATTCTACGCCTATTATGGCTAACCGTCAACACTTAAACACTAACGTTTTAGATGTATAGTGAATCTTAAAAAAATTAGCTGAATGTTTTTGTTATCGTTTATTGATTTTTAGATGATTACTTGATGTCATTACTTACTTACTTACTTACGCCTGTTGCCCACAATGGAGCATAGGCCGCCCACCAGCAGCATTCTCCAGCCAACTCTGTCCTGGGCTTCTCTCTCCAATTCTGTCCAATATTTGTTCATTCCTCTCATATCTTTCTCTATTTCTCGGCGTAGTGTGTTCCTTGGCCTTCCTCTTTTCCTTTTGCCTTGAGGGTTCCATGTGATGTATTGTCTTGTGACGCAATTAGGTGCTTTTCGCAGTGTGTATCCTATCCACTTCCACCGCTTCTTCCTGATTTCCTTCTCCACTGCAATCTAATTTGTTTTCTCCCACAGTACGTTGTTGCTGATGGTGTCTGGCCAACGAATCCGAAGTATTTTGTGTAGACAACTGTTAATAAACACTTGTATCTTCTGGATGATGGTTTTGGTAGTTCGCCAAGTTTCCGCTCCATAAGTCTTTACATTTGTATTGAAAATGCTGATTTTGGTTTTGGTTGAAAGTTGTTTGGAGTTCCAGATATTTTTCAACTGTAGAAATGCAACCCTTGCTTTGCCAGTCCGCGCCCTCACATCTGCATCGGATCCACCTTTCTCGTAGATGATGCTGCCCAAATATGTAAAGGTTTTAACGTCCCCCAAGGCATCTCCATCAAGAGTGATTTGGTTTGTGCATGTTGTGTTGCATCGGAGAATTTTGCTTTTTCCTTTATGTATGTTGAGACCTACTGCTGCAGAGGCTGCTGCTACACTGGTCGTCTTCTCTTGCATTCGTTGTTGCGTGTGAGATAGAAGAGCCAGGTCATCTGCGAAGTCCAGATTGTTCGGCTGCGTCCTAACTATCCAGTTGATACCATGCTTCCCTCCAGATGTCGACGTCTTCATAATCCAGTCGGTGACCAGGAGAAAGAGAAAGGGTGAGAGTAGGCAAACTTGCCTGACACCGGTCTTCACCTCGAAAGAGTCGGTTAGCTGTCCTCCGTCCATGATTTTGCAGTTGAATCCATCATAAGAATTCCATATGATGTTAACTATTTTCTCAGGCACACCGTAGTGTCGAGGAAGCCTCCACAGTGTTTTCCTGTCCACGCTATCAAATGCTTTCTCGTAGTCGATGAAGTTGATGTAGAGTGGTGAGTTCCATTCAATTGATTGTTCCACAATGATCCGTAATGTCGCAATTTGGTCAGTACACGAAATCTGGCCTGTTGATCTCGAAGGTGGGCGTCTACGAAGTCCTTCATTCTGTTTAACACTACCCTGTTGAAGACTTTGCCTGGTATTGAAAGAAGAGTGATGCCTCAGTAGTTCTCACACTTGCTGAGATCTCCTTTCTTTGGTATTTTGATCAGGTATCCTTCTTTCCAATCTGATGGTACTTGTTCCTCATCCCAAATCTTCTTGAAGAGGATGTGAAATATTTTCGCAGTTGCTTCTGCATCTACTTTCATTGCCTCTGCTGGAATGTCATCTGGTTCTGCCGCTTTGCCGCTCTTGATTTGTCTCATGGCCATACTGATCTCCTCAATTGTAGGTGCACCAATATTAATTGGGAGATCCGTGGATGCTGCTTCGATGTTGGGTGTGTTCAGTGGAGCTGGTCGATTCACTAGTTCCTTAAAGTGCTCTACCCACCTATTTCGCTGTTCTTCAGTGTTGCTGATTACTTTGCCTTCCTTGCTTTTCACTGGTCGTTCTGGTTTACGATAGTTACCGGCGAGCTTATTTGTAGTTTCGTACAACTGTCTCAACTTTCCTTCTCTTGCAGCCTTTTCCGCCGTCATTGATAGATCTTCCACATATTTTCGTTTGTCAGCTCTGATGCTCTTCTTCGCTTCCCTGTTTACTTCTGTGTATGCAGCTTGTGCGGTAACTTTCTCCGCTCTTGTTCGGCTGACATTCACTGCTGCCTTCTTGTTCCTCCTTTCTTCAATTTTTGCGAGAGTATCAACAGAGATCCATTCCTTGTGATGGTACTTCTTGTGACCCAGAACTTCGTGACATGTTGAAGTGATTGCCTCATTAATCCCTTTCCAATTGTTCTCCAATGTTGTGTCCTCTCCATTGAGTAGATCCTGAAAGGCCTGGAACCTATTGGTGAGGGCTATCCTGAATTCGTTGAGCTTTACAGTATCCCGAAGAAAGGCCGTATTAAACTTCTGTGATGTTGTCTGTCCCGTTGTCCAGTGCTTCTTTAGTTTTAGTTTCATTTTGGCGATCAGCAAATGGTGATCTGAAGCTATATCAGCTCCTCTCTTGGTTCTCACATCCTCCATGTTCCTTCTCAACGTTTTGTTGATACAGATATGGTCAATCTGGTTTTGAGTAGTGTGGTCCGGTGAAATCCATGTGGCTTTGTGAATGCGTTTGTGCGGGAATATTGTGCCACCGATGACCAGTTTGTTGAAGGCACATAGGTTTGCAAATCTCTCACCGTTTTCGTTTCTTTCTCCCAGTCCATGTCGTCCCATGATGTCTTCATATCTAGTGTTGTCCATTCCAACCTTGGCATTCAGGTCTCATAAGAATCGTCAAATCCTTTGGTGAACATTTCTCGACGATTGACTGCAGCCTTTCGTAGAATTGATCTTTAACGTCATCATTGTAGTCATTGGTAGGTGCATAACATTGAATGACGTTCATTGTAATGTCCTGTTTCTTTGTTTTGAAGGATGCTGTAATGATCCTGGGTCCATGATATTTCCATCCTATTAGTGCATTTTGTGCATGTTTGGACAGCATCAGTGCAACTCCCTGTGTATGTGAAGCATTTTCCTCTTCATGACCAGAGTATAACAGCAGTTCCCCTGAAGCTAGTCTCAATTGTCCTGCCTGCGTCCAATGCGTTTCACTGATGCCGAGCACCTCGAGGTTGTATCTTTTCATTTCTGCCGCAACTTGAAATAGTCTTTCAGTCTCCCACAATGTACGAACGTTCCATGTACCTAAAAAAATGGTTGTTCTGGTTGTCAGAAGAGGCATCAGCCCTGTGACTTCCGAGGGAACTCGGCTTTCATCACGCGACATCATACTTCTTCTTCCAACTCCCAGGGCAGAGTTAAAATGGTTTGATTTATATTTTCTGGTTAGCGTTTTTTTGGCAAGTGAGATTTCGACGGAATCGGCTCATTAACTTCATGTCAAACCCTCCTCGTTTATCCGGGCTTGGGACCGGCAGTAGCCCCGAAGGTTCTACTGGCGGAGTTACTTGATGTCATGTTTACACTGAAATGGATATGAGTATAAAATGTGATATTGAGAATGCACTGTGTGTGATCAGCTATATACGTGTACAATAACCGGTATAATCCTGTTTGTTTTCATTAAATTTTAGGTAAATTCATATCAAGTGACATTATGGATAAAAAGTGTCACAAATTTAAGGATATTTAATAATCTCAAACAAAATAAATGAGCAGAGTTTCTTAAAAGTACTGAAGTACAATGGCGCCGGTGCATTTATTCTTTGTGTTCTCTCAAATCCTAATCTTATGGATTCTTCAACAACTCTAGTTTTGACTTTCTAAACTTTT